TCCTCAGAGGACATCATGCTTGGAAGGGTGGAAGGGCAGCACAGGAGATGACCCAGGATGAGAAGAATTTTTACAGTAACTGGGGCAAGAGAGGGGTTAGCATGTCGAATCAGACTGGCTCAGGACTGGGGAGACTTGAGCTGTTGTATATTGGGTCGCTATTGGTCACAGTTGACTTGATGGCACATAACAACTGGGAAAGGTGAAGTGTCAGAAAAGGAAGAGAGCCTTTCAAATGGGCTGACCCGTTACTTCTAACAGCAGACTTGAGCAGAGCAGAGATCTGGGACAAGGTTCAGAGCTGCTGTTTACACGGTTGCTAGGAATTATGGTGGTCTGAATGACACCTCAGCAATGATCTTACACTCAAAGTATAGAGAATCAAGTCTTTGGAGGAGAATTAATAAATATCAACTAACAAATGACGCCTGTTGTTGTTAAGCGTTGTCCCATTGAGCACGACTCATACTGACCCTATGAACAAAAAACCTAACTCTGTTCTAGAACTATCGCTGTTTCTCTAAGTTCGTATGTCCACCACGTAGTCATTTTACAGTAATTGTATTTTTAAAAACATAGATCTCTTATATTTTAATAAATTTCTAAGTTATACAACTTGTCCACAGGGTTGCTGAGTCAACAGTCAACTCAAAACTCCTGCAATGTACATAATTAAGATCGCTGGCATGGAGTTGCACTGCCAGGCCAAAGGCAAGGAATTTCAATCCACAAGCTGTTCCAAGGGCGAACGATGAGTGATCTTGTGTGACTTGGCCTCTGAGAATCTGCTGGGGTTCGTTCAAACTTGAAAAAGTAATTTCACTTGCCTGGAGTGGCATCCACTTCCAACAACTTGCTTCTGGAAACTCGATGAACTTTAGTGTCAATAGTTGTAGAAGGTCTTCAGTCCTTTTGTTCATCGCATTGCTATGAGTCATGCTCGACTCAAAGGCAGTCAACAACAGATGTTTTACGTGCATCGTGGCTTAGTGCTGTCCAGCGAGTTCTGACTCAGTTATCCTCCACCAGGTTTCTGAGGCTGTCCATCATTAGGAGAGGAGACTGCCCGTTCAACTCTTTCAGAGCAACTAGTGGATTAAAATCACTAGGGCCACGTGGCATTTAAGTGAACAGGTACAACTTACTACAGACTAAGGCACAGAGCTCTCCGCTTGAACCTTAAGAAGTAATTCCTTCTTGTGTGCTCCTTATAGATATACATACATGCTTAAACTTGGGACAGTTGAGCTATCTCATGCCAACCTCAACCATTATTTCGCTAGGCTCTTGATTTTTACCTATAATTTCAGTGCTCAGTGGACAAAGTTCTATAGTAGACTGCGTAACTTCAGCTTTACAGAACTGGGATGATAAAACACCCACGGTGGTCTCCCTACTTCCAATACGGGGTGATGGTGGATGCTTGTTAAAATTCAGGAAAACTTAAGAATTAAACTGACAAAGTAGGTACTTTGATTAGACTTTAGACTTGGTCTTTGATCCCTGGCTATCTAGATACAGTCTCCTATCCTTTCACCTCTCCCACCTCAAATAAGCTCACTGTATGAACGGACTAGTAAGCATTACACTTGAAACAGAAAGTGTAATTATCTCTTACCAAGTCATACTACTAATAGTATAAGGGGGGAAAAAAACCAACCCACTCCATTTTCATAAGTACAATTTTTTAAACTTTAATAATGCAAAAAGATCAACTAGTTAACATAAATACAGAGATAATGCACATCAATTTACAGCCATGTACATAAATGCAAAACCAGCAATCCTCACGGGAATGACTAAGACACCAACTCTTATGAAGTTGACTACTTAGCGATGACTGTTAAGTCATAATTCAATTTTTCACATATGCAAGGGTACACTTTCAAACTGTAACACAAAAACAGTGAAATTACACTTAATTTTCTAAAGGGAGTTATATCGAAGTCAGCGTGTATGAGAAATAAAGAATATGGTGGAAACGGTATGTGAGTGGGCAGAGTGTGTTGTATTATTTTGCGTATTAAAATTCCTTCCCATTTAAATCATTCCGAATTCATTTACATTAGGAATGTTAACAGTCACAATCATTTCTGGGCGAAGAAAAGGCTGAGCCATTTTATCAGCCGAAACATGTACAGCTCAGTTACCAGTCATGTGGACGGCGCTGAAAGAACAAGGGATGATTTCTAGAACGTAAAACCTTCACATGCACATCAACACTTCTACTATCTTTACCTGAAAAATGCTGAGGTACATACTCATAGTCCAGTAAAAGAACAAACATTCATCATCATTTTTAAAACTGAAATTCTGCTGGTCCTAATACAATAACGATGTTTCACACACTAAACAGTGTGCATGGCATTTCATTAAGAGACAAAAGGCAGGGTGTATACTATTTTATGGTTTGAAAATTACCCATCAATTTACTTGTGGACCCCATCTAGTTCCATGAGCGTATGTCCTTAATGAGAATTAAGACAAAGCTTCACTAACAGTTTTCCCATGGACTGAAAAAGTACCGTATGGTACTGTACAATCACAAGGGTTGATAATTTTCATACTTGAGTTCTGAAATTCAGGGAATGGTTTCTTTGAACCAACTGGTGAGGCAGTTGGTCTATCTCTTGCTCTATTACTCATTTAGGTTTTCACCTGAGTAAGTTTAATTCCATTTTCTGGGATGATTTTAGAATAGAAGTATATACCAATATGAAAAGTTCTGAATCTTATATTAGAAATAAAAGTCATTTGATAGAGAACAGATGAAAACAAAACCGTTTTAAAAAACAGTCCCTTGGTTTGAGTAAGGTTTTGTTCTTTTTTCAGACATCTGATTAATACTAGTAACAATTGCCAAAGAAATATTCTAGAGACAAATGATGTGTAAGTTTAATATATAGTTTTACTTTTTAATTATTTCTCTCATCTATAAAGAAACTACTACAGATTGTGACACACAACCCCAATTAAAATAAACTTCATTGCTCCTTTCCAGTTTTGTACAAAGAAACAAAATCTTAAGAAACAAAGATATTTTGTCTTCCTTCCAGTATATACATAATACTTTTAAATGCTAAGTAAGATTCAGGAATCCAATACGTGTTCATCATTGAAGGACACTTGTCATGAACATGCTACAATTAAATAACATGTTCCTTAGCTGCTGGTTTACAAATCACTCTTTACCATTTGAGGAGTAACGAGATCATTCAGATTAGGGAGTCTCCTCCACTCAACATGATGAATGCTTACGTATCTTCAGAAGGCAAATGGCACTGTATTAGGCAGTGTAAGTGGCACCTGAAAAAAAATCAAACTATAGACGCAGACTTTCTCTACTGATCAGTTAGACACCTCCATTTTTGGGTGTGTGGCTGGTTTTTTTTTTTTGGTTATGTGCCTCACAAAAAATGTCAAAGGTCTAATTTGTGATAAAGGTAATAATAATAATAATCCCAAAGCTAAGAGAATGGAATTTGCCTTTGGTCTTCAAATAGATTGGAGAGTTTTAAATTCCAATCAAAGCACCTCAAGAACCATCCAGTCACTTTGATTACCAGGATTTTAAGAAGGTGGGAGAATTCAAAAAGGTGTTGTATTTGACTATGAAAGCAGAGGAGGCTGGTAATGACCTACTGTCATTTTCAATAATGTTGACGCCACTAAAGTTCACACTGAACACTGAAAGATCCCCCAAAATAACCTATCTTAAAATTAGAAAATGTTACGAACACTCTTTCTGCCCAATAGATAACTTATTATTTTTATCTTAAACGGAATTTCCTCCTATTCCTTCACCCTTGAAGGCGGCCACAAAGTGCATTCACAAAAATTCAGATGAACCCATTGCACAAAATGTACAGCTCTTTATACTAAAATGAGTACCACACCGGAGTTTAATTATACAAGTTCTACACACCAGCAAGGCAACATTCATGGTAGAAGTCTCTTTACAGAATTATAGTAGACACCTTCATATGAGATATACAGAATAGGTTTGAAGTATTAAAAGGTGCAGCTGAGCTCAATAGCAAAATTTTAAAAAGTGATAGCCTTTTGCCTCATTTTTTTATAAACTTTTTTTTTTTTAATTTTATTTACCATTCAGGAAATTAGGAGAAAATGAAATCCATTAAAAGCCGTTTGTTTGCTTAAAAAGCTATAGGGCAATTAAAATCACTATCTGTTAAATTAAGACAGTAGAAGGCCTCTCTTTGATGTTTTACACTGCCTCAAATACTGTTTAAAAAAAAGTATAATGACAAAGCTAAAAATTACCATTTCTCAGAAAAAAATGTATTACCTATTTTGCGGGGATAACTCAAAGGTTTAAATCTTAATTTGAAAGCAAGCTGATAAAAAGTTCAGAAAATGGTCATATCCTCCCCCACCGAAAAGTGATAATCCAGGCTAATTATTACTGAAAATAGAAGGCTTGATTCTGTCCTCATTCATGTACCACAAAGCCAGAGAAACGTTAATTTAAGGAGACGTTAGGCCATTGAAATACTGGTTAAGAACCAGTATCTAACTGGCTTTATTTTGTCTCAAACTATTATCATTTGAATTCGATGTGTTAATGAACAATCATGTTAACCACCCAGCACCTGTTAAAATCGGAAACCGAAACATTTTAATACAACAGATAGGATAAGCTATTTAGACAGTATTTTATTGGTTCTCAAAAACACCCACCAATAATGGCAAGAGAAATGTGAATGGAATACTGAGAATCTCATTATTACTGTGGTTACTTGGTTATACAGGAAGCCAACAGAAGTTCTACCAATACTATCATTACATAGAGGACAGTGTAGAATTAGGGATGACTTTGTTTAGAAGATTGGAAAACCATTCACAGGATAAACATCATATTCTGACTGACATAAATCAACACAACTGTGTCAAAGGGATACAGGAGAGAAAAATGGCAATTGTGAGAAAAGAGTGGTTTTGAAAAGTGTTTCCTTGGCTGCACCGTGTTGTTTTCCAAGAAGATCAAATAATGTGATGTAATCCCTTTTCCACGCCTACCACCAAACTTCCACTCAGGTATAGTTCCACGTTCCCCAGCTAGTTTTCTTCTGCCCACTATGCTGGCTTAGATATTCCATGGTCCACTGTCATCTTTTGGTCTTTCTCTGTTCCGTGATAACAGGCACATGTTGCTATCCATTGAGGAGGTAGACTACCAATTCATAGGTGGCCATCATAATAGCTGTGTTTGGAATCTGTCTCACCAGATGAGTCGTTAAACCACGGTAGAGGGACATATAACCTTCTTCTTGAACAACCAAAGAGAGTGTCTGAAAGAAAGATCTGTATTTTGTTCCCTCTTCACGTAGTCTTGTTCTTATAACTTCTGTTGAGGAAAAAGAATGATATAAGCATTAGTAGTACCTTTAAACGATTCCAATTCAATTGAGTATGTATAATATCCTTTCTCAATCTCTAAGTTTGTAATAAATGAGGACTTTTTCATGTTAGCTGGTAAACTAATCACGTGTTAAGAATAGTCTAATTTGAAGGAAGTTGCTTACATAAATTACACTTCTGAAACAAATACTCATTTCCGAGCAGTTGATTTTCCCCCCTCACACGGCTTTAGTCATAGAACTTCAAACTTCACAAGGGTAAATGTAATTGTTAATAATTATTCATCTAACAACAACAAGAACAACACACACAGCAAAAACCCAAAATGCACACCAATCCAATCAACCTGCTTCAATACAGAAAATTATAAATCTATAAAACAGACTACAAATAAATTCTCATCCTTTAACTTCACACAGTAGGATTGAAGCGTGATAATGGGGCAAGCAATTTGGGGTTAAGTAATTAAAAGTTTCTCATAGGATGACCCTTTCTTTCCATCCTACTGTCTGTTACACTTGCCTTAACAAAAAAACCAAAACTCCAAAAATCCACCAGCTGTTCCACGAGAAAGAAGAGCGATCTCTCCCATGTGATTTACTGCCTCTGACCCACCCCCTGCAGGGTCAGCTATGAGCTGTTCTGACTCAATGAAACAGGCTAATTTAAAATTGAAGGAAAAAAAATTAAAAGAGATTATTTATACCTATGTATTTGCCCACATGAAAAAAACATTTAATTTGCTCTTTGAAATTACAGACTTTGAGGGGAGCTCTGGTGGCCTAGGTGTAAGGAGCTGCAACTACAATCCCAGAGGCACACGGTTCAAATCCACCAGATGCTCTGCCGGGGAAGGAGGGAAAATCTCCTCCTGTACCAGTCAGATCTGATTTGACGGTACACACACATGAAAATAATAAAATAAAAAAATAAAATAAAACATTTAAAAAAAAAAAAAGAAATTACAGACTTTGATTAAATCTTGGGCTCTATTGCAGAGTAGCCATGTAACCTTGTGAAAATTAACATCTCATCAGAAACCTGCTCCAGAGTCTCCTAGCTAAGACAAGTGGCACAGAATTTGTCATACTCGAGTTTCTGGTGGCCTAGTGAGTAAGGAGCTGTGCTGTCAACCCAAAGACCAACTGGTGGTTCAAATCCACCGAACGCTCCTTATGGCAAAAGATGGGCAACTTCCTCCCATGCAATTTACAACCTCCGAAAGAAAACCTATTGGGAGAGTCAGCTGGGTCAGTTTCAACTTGACAATAATTAACAACTTGAGTCCAAATTCAGTCATCAACATGGTATTTTACAGCACACATTTATTTACAGTAAAATCTGCTGTTCTCAGGGTACCTACAAGTTGTACTCGACTCAACAGCACGTCACCACTACCACCTATTTATACAGTCTTATGTTACTGTTACAGATTTGTTACCATTAAGATGAACTTCTAAGAGTATGTTATACTGCTCTAATCATCCTGGGGTTGGCTGGGCTAAGAAAACACTTCTGACATGTGTAATACCACACACACACAATTCCTCTTACCGTGTGGATACGCTAGAGTTGTGGCACAGGTTTTTGAGGTGGCAGCAGCCAACATCATCCCCACAAAATCCGAAGCTTCTTTCACAGACTCTTCACCATCTTCCATTGTGGAAGCAATTTTATAGTCCAGTAGTTTTTGCTTAATACTTTCATAAATAACAAAATGTATAACAGTCTCTGATATGCCTGCATATGAAGCAGACATGCCCCTGTAAAAGCCTTTCAGTCCATCTGTCCGATATACTTTACGAACACATTCAAAAGCACTCATTCGTTTTTCGCCACGGTTCCTGAGAGGGTGGGGGAGAAAGTCATATTAGATAAGTAACATACAGGTATTAAAATAGTTTCTTTTTCCCAATGCAAAACCCCAGTTTCATGTCTCCCTTGAAGTTCATGTTCTAAGATAAAGTAACAATTCCTCTAGAAAATATATACAGCTCGAAATAAAAAAACAAATCAACAAAAACTTTCACATCTATTAAACCCACTTTGCACTTAGTAATACATAAAAAGAGAGACTGAGACATCAGTGATGATAAAAATGAATCAAGGTGACGTGCCATCACGTTTCTGAAGCTGTAAATTTTAATGACTAGAGTACCTTTGTTCTCTTGCCCACCAGTCAGCAGGTTCAAACTGCTGACCTATTAGCCCCACACGGAACCTACTAGAACTCCAGGACACCTTTCCAATGACGACAGTGTTTTCTAAGGTAAGGATTATTATTACTCTGATTTCTGCACTCCCAATGAATGAACACGTGTGTCTTCGAGAAGCACAGCCAGAGTGCTCCTTGGAGGCAAAGATGAGAAAGCTTCATCTCACATACTTCAGACATGTTGCTGGGAGAGGCTCTTCCTTGACAGAGGCGGCACGCTTAGAAAGGCAGACCGTAGGCGAAGGAGAGGAAGAGCCTTAGCCAGATAGAGCGACACAAGGGGCTAAAACGGGTCAGAGACTGAGGACGGCACAGGTTACGACAGGGTTCAGATCTGTTGTTCACAGCGTCACTCTGGGTCATATGTACTCGGCTCAAATGGCACCTAAAAACTACAATAACAACTCTACCCATCCTTCCCATCTACCCTCCCGAAAGTGACCAGGTAAGTTTATGTCTGATTTCCTCTGATGTCTTGAAATTAACAACTGCATGTTTTACCTCAGGATTATCAGTGAACAGTATATAACGACCTCTACCTATTTACTGACTACTATACACAAGAACTTTTCTTCAGTTAATACTATCTACTAGTGCAGATCCACACAGTCAAATGCCTTTGCATAGTCAGTGAAACACAGATAGACATTCCTCTGCTATTCTCTGCTTTCAGCTAAGATCCATCTAACATCAGCTACAATATCCCTAGTACCACGACCTTCTAAACCCAGCCTGGACTTCTGGTAGTTCTCTGCTGATGTGCTGTTCTAGTTGGTTTTGGATCATCTTCAGTAGAATCTTGCCTGCATGTGAAATCAGTGAGATTGTTCTATAGTTTCCACACTCTGCTGGGTCACCTTTCTTTGGGATAGGAACAAATATACATCTCTTCCAGTCAGTTGGCCAAGTGGTCGTTCTCCAGATTTCTTGGCACAACTTGGTGAGCACATCCAGGGCAGCATTTGTTAGCTAAAATATGTCAATTGGTATACCATCTATTCCTGGGGCCTTATTTTTTGCCATTTGCTTCAAAGCAGCCTGAACTTCTTCTTTCATCATCATAGTCTCTTGCTCATATGTTGTTGCATGAAATTCTTGATCGTGCTAATGTGAAACCTATACCTGAATCAGGAGGCAGTCGTCAGAACAGAGCAAGGGAACACTGCATGGTTCAAAATTGGGAAGGGCGTATGCCAGGGATGCATCCTATATCCATACTTTTTCAACCTATATGCAGAACAGATTATCCGGGGGGCTGGGCTCTATGAGGAGAAATTTGGGGTCAAGATTGGTGGACGATTTATCAACAACGTGCGTTATGCGGATGACACAACCCTGCTTGCTGAAACTGAAGAGGACCTGAAGCACCTGCTGCAGAGAGTCAAGGACTGCAGCCTCCAATATGGATTGAGGCTCAATGTCAAGAAGACAAAGATTCACACCACTGGACCAATTGGCAGCATCAGGATGGATGGTGAAGAGATTAAGATTGTACACAGCTTTAGTTTGCTTGGCTCCACAGTCAACACTCTTGGCACCGGTAGCCAGGAAATTAAAAGGCGTGTTTCCTGGCAACCGGTGCCAAGAGTGTTGACTGTGGAGCCAAGCAAACTAAAGCTGTGTACAATCTCAATCTCTTCACCATCCATCCTGATGCTGCCAATTGGTCCAGAAGGCGCATTGCCATGGGAAAGTCTGCTGTTAGGGACCTCTCCAAAGTACTGAAGAGCAATGGTGTCTCTCTGGAGACTAAGGTGCATCTGATACACGCCATGGTGTTCACAATCACTTGTTATGCATCAGAGAGTTGGACAATGACGAAGGAGGATAGGAGAACTTATGCCTTTGAGCTGTGGTGCTGGAGAAGAGTATTGAGAATACCATGGACTGCTAGGAAAACAAACAGATTCGACCTGAAAAGGGTTAAACTGGGTGGCTCCTTGGAGGCAAGGATTCTGAGACTCCATCTAACATACTTTGGACATGTTGTGAGGAGAGACCGGTCCTTGGAGAAGGACATCATGCTTGGGAGGGTGGAGGGACAGCGCAGAGGGGAAGGCTGTCTATGAGGTGGATTGATTCAGTGACTGGGATAATCGGGATGGGAGTGTCAGAGACAGTGCGGTTGGCACAGGACAGAGCAGAGTTTAGGCCTGTTGTACACGGGGTAGCTATGAGTCGCAAGCGACTTGACGGCACATAACAACAACAACAACTAGTGCAGAATCCATTCTTATAGAGGTATATAATTTTGACTTTATAAAAATATCGATTCCCCTTCCCCCCAAGAGAACCTTAAACAATTTATATTTGCTTTTAAGAAACTAAAACCACACTGTTGTAAGGTGCCGAGTCAGACTGACTCACAGCCAACCTTTCAGCGGGTTTTGAGAGGCTGTAGGGGCTGCTCATCTTTGTCTTGAGAAGGAGCTGGTGGACTGGAACTGCTGGCTTTGGGGCTGGTAGTCCTTGCCTCTAGGCCATCAGAGCTCCCTAAATCCACATGGAAGACATCTAACTTGGAAATATAGAGACTGTCTTCTGTTATATTCATTAAATTAGTACAGTTATATTAACACATTCAACCAATTATCCTTTCTTTCTACCACCAGAAATTCTCTCTATAGGAGGTAGAAGAACCAGAAGAGAAAATATAGACACATCAGTGTTTTGGACTTTGAATCAATGTTGTAAATGAAACTCACTGCCAAGTTTATTCAAACTCACAATAACCCTACTGGATAGGAAAGAACTGGTCCCTAAGGTTTCAGAAGCTATAGATATTCCTTGACCTTGTCCTTAGCACTGCGCCACGAGGGCTCCTGTGTAATCAGTACCCTTGAATTCATGTGTCACATACACATCTTACCATCCCCACACATATAACCCAGGCCCATTGTCCTGGTTTGTGTTACAGTTAGAAGGAATAATACTGAATAATATTGAAGTTTTGAATCCATGCTGCCCCTAAACGGCCTACAACTCAACCCTGTAACACAATGAAGCACACCACTGATAGTTTGGTGATCTGTTTCCATAAAAGCAGCCATTCAAAAATTCTAAAGAATTTTAAAAATGTAATAAATGTCACTGAACTGCACCTACAGAAATTGCTGGCACAGTGTATGCCTTGTTATGCATATTTTCACTGTTATTTAGAAAATGAACACCATACAGACTGCAGTTCTGTGCAGACTCATGTGGCTTAGACTTGCCACAATCAATTCAACTCCACTCACTGCTGTTCCAGTCAACGAGGACCTGACTCACAGTGATCTTCTAGCAGGATTTCAGAAGCTGTAAATCCTACAGGAGGAGAAAGCCCACCTTTGTCCCAAGATGAAGCTGGTGGATTTGAACCATCTGCCTTTGGGTTGGCAATACAATTCTTTACCCGCAGGCCACCAACTACTCCATGGCAGAAAAAGATGAGCAATCTCATCTCTTGAAATTGACAGCCTCTGAAAATCTGCTGGAGGATCAGCTATGAATTGGTTCCACCTTCCATAACAACAACAGAACTCTGGAGAGGCCTTTGACAACAGATGCCAACAACTGTGTTGTGGTTACATGCTAGTGAGTTGGAACCAACTCATACCTGACCCTCCACTGGGTTTTCAGAGGTTGTAAATGGCACAGGAATTGACTGCCCATCTTTCTCCCTCGGAGCAGCTGGTGGATTCAAACCACGTCCCTTTCCTTCTTCATTTTCGCTTTTTGGATATCTGGCTTTATAAAATACACTTTGATTTTTGCTCTGACACACTGCATCTCATTTAAAGGACTGGTCAAGATGCAACAAGAAGTAAGCATTCTTTTCTAAGTATTCAAAAACTATGCCGTTCAACACTACAGAATGTAAAAAACAAATACTTAAGCAGGCATAAGTAACCGTGCATAATCAAGAGATCAGTTTTTAGATTCTATAGGATACAGCACCACTTTCCAAACCCCCAAATAGAAAGATGATCTAAAACTATGTATCTGCTTGAACAGATCAGATTACTAATCTCTTCCGGAATGAAAGTTTAAATGCTTAAAAGCTACATTATTATTATTATTATTAATATTACTACTACTCTGTCTAGATCATCTCCTGAAAAATGCTTTTGTCAATCTCTTATTCTAAGAGGACTCCTATAGGAGTCAACAAGGCAAGACTCTACAGCACACTACTGCTGGGTCAGCCTTCTCTCAGTTCCAAGAACACATCACTGTCCACTGCCTGCGTCAGTTCATGGCCAATGGTGATCGTCTACAGTTTCCGAGGCTCTAAATCTTTAAAGGATGAGACTGCTCATCTTTCTGCAGGGGAGAGCACAGGTTGAACTGCTTTCTCTTGTTAGTCACCAGATCCTTTACACACCACCCTTAACACACAAAAGGCCCCATACTTCAGGGTCTCTGAGGTTTGCATTAGCTGTTGCTTTCCTTAAAACGGGCCAGAAAACCCACTGTGTCACCCAGGCGATTAGGCCATTAAAAGACTCTGCCGTATAGCATAGTATGTACGTAACATAGATTGAACGGAGGAGTCCTGCAACTTGTAAGAGCAAATCTCAGTAGAAAGAAAGGCACGGTGAAATAGCTGGCACTGAAACCTCACTAATGAAAAAATATCTAGAAAAGGCATTAGTGTACATCAACTGTCACTTGAATAAGGAAACATACCTCGCGTCCAGCTGTAACCGCGTCTTTATGAGCCAGATGGGGTTGGTTGCTGTGATGGCAGTAAAACCTAAACAACAAACATGTTCAAATGAACGCTGGTAAAAATGAAGGACACACTATTAAACTTAAGAGTTCAAAAATCATATACATCTTTATTAAAAAGTATATACTGAAACTATATTAACTGATACATGCTTTACATTTTTATTTAACAAATCCATAAAGCCACAAACATGTTTGCATCATTTCCATTCTACATATATAAAATCATCAAATTCTGATTTTAACAAAAAGACCTTTAAGGGTAAAATCTAATTTTTATTGTAAAAATTATTTCCCCAAACTATACAGAATACCTTCTAGGTACTCTCTACTTAGTAAAAGGTGAATTCAGAAACCCATTTCTACAGACAAAAGTACAGAAATTTTACGTATTTGCATGCAAATTCTATAATAGCTACTTGGGGACTGGTTAACATCACAAATCACTACCCTCAAAATGGTTTCTATGTAAATGTTTCAATCTTAAATCAGTTATATTAACAGAAACTATTTGTTGTTTGGCCTCATGTATGTTTGTTACCATATACTTACTAATTATTTTAAAATAATGGTATCACAGAGATATCATTTCTTATAGGGTTATAGGTCTATTTTTTCAACTACTTAGGGAAACAGAAAAGCTCAAAAGCTAAAATAAGTTGCCAATGAGAAATTCCCTTGTACTTTTATAGACACTGAAGAGAGAAAACTAGTAGTAAAAGGTCGCTCTAGTTTAAAATATTGTATTAACTATTAGTGAAAAAGGGTGGTAACTTAGAGCTGTTTATTTCAGGAAGTAAATTAACATCTCTGGAATACTAAGTTAGTGCCTATCTGTAACTTCTTGCCATCTTCCAAGCGATACCAAAAAAACAGCACATACAAGGCAATCTCAGTGACAGTAATTAATAAAGATTGCTTAATTTATTAAAAGATTTTAATCCATTGCTCTTACTGATGATTAGCTATACAAACAGAAGTATTAACACCAAGCTACATTTATTTCATTGGTCTTAAATTTAATGAAAACTTCTATGCAGAAATGTCCAAGGATCTCAACTATTACACTATTTTCTACTGGGTACTATCAAGTGAAGCACATTAGTTTTATGTGTGGTTTTTGTTGTTTTGGTTTTTTTTAAAGGTAGGATACATAATTAGGAAATCTAGCATAAGCACTTTTAGGAACAACAACAAAAAAAAAATGCTGTGAAGCACTTATCTAAATACACCTATATATTTAATATTATATGAAATCAATCCTAAACCTTTCTGGGCTTTCAAAGTTAGGAGGGCTGATGGTCAAAAGCAAATGAGTTTAAACAAACTGTTTCCATAGGTGAATGTAGTCTTTGGCAAAGCTAGACAATTAGCTAACTCAATTGTCACTCTCTTACCCAGAATTAACATCGCAGAAATGGCCAGACATTAGATAGAAGGACACAGCAATTAAATCTCTTAAGCAAGTGAGGTAAATGTACTTAAGGAAAAACAGTTTAATTCTTTGGGTCATTTTATAATGATTCTTTCATTGCTGTTATGTCAGAGCCACCTCACAGCCAACCCTCCACTGGTGTCCAAGGTGGGAAATCTCACAGGAGATTGCCTGTCTTTCTCCTGAGGACGCTCTGGTGGCTTCAAACTGCCGGAGACAACGTGGCCTCTGGGTCTGGGTTAGCACTGTAAGTCCCTAGGGACTAAGCCACCAGAACGGCCTTCCATAGTCTGTATTTCTCTTGAGGTGTCTTTAATACTCCACATAGAAGTATAAAACCTAGAACAGACCTAGCAATGTTGGAAGTATTGGTTAGTACTAAAATAATAAAAATTTAAAGCACTGACAAGATTGCTAAGAGTATCTTCCAAGAAAGAAGTTATTTTCACACATATATTCTTAATTAACAAAAAGGAGTGGGGAAAACCCCTGAGACTATGATCAAATCAGATTAATTATCTTGTTTGGAAAGGATTTCTCTTGCATGCCTTGGCTTAATTTGAACTTAAGAAACTTTCAGTTTTACTTCCTTCTTTTGAATCTAACTTTTCTAAGTAAACAAAGTTAAACTAAAGATGTTAAAATAGCATTTTGCAGCAAATATGTACCAAATACTAGTATGTTGGTCAAAACTCAATTTTTTAAAAATTTTCAATATTTCTATTAGCAAATGTTTATACGGCAAGATTAATGGTTTAGGACTGAAAAGCCACTCAGCAGCACAAACAACAAAATATTCTGAGTATCACCTGATTTTTTTATCACTCATTCTGTGGCAATGTTTATTAATTCTAAAGGCCTAAATCTTTCTACCATGCTTTTAAAATAAACAGCCTGTCAAGGTAAAAACTGTCATTCAAGTTATTATATTTTTTGATTTAAGGTGAGTAAAAAATAATGTTTAGAAGCATTAACTAATTTTAGAATAAAAATTCCATTTCGAATAAACAAAGTTTTCTAACACTTTTCAAAGTCACAAAATTCTAGGAGTCTGAAAAACCTAATAGATACAAAATTTTAAATGTCACAGTGAGTATTTATTAATGTGCTACTAGAAATAAGCTTAAAATACACCTACAATTTAAAGTTATTCCCTGTATATATTAATAAACCATGAGAGGACACAAACAACAGGCATTTCTCACTTAACTAAATTTCATTTCCAGGCATAAATTAATCTAAGAAACAGGTAAGTGATTACACTGTCTTATTCCTATGACCGCTTTAACAGCTGGAGAACTCTGTTATACTTGCTCGTTTTGGCTTAACTTTTCCAGTAATGAGTTAACTTTTAATAAAGACACCAGCTTATTACTAGGAAATCATTACATAAACAATGAAGGCATAATCCATAGGTTTTTAACTATTATTCCTTTTATTTCCCCTAGAAAAGACCATTAAAAAAAAACAAAAACAAAAAAAAAAAAACCCCAAGGAGACACTTGGTTTTAAAATCTAGCAAAATAAAATCTACTGATTCAAACAATGAAACTAATGAGAAAAATAAAATTTTATAATTAACTTGAAAAGTATACATGTAAGGTCAATGGGGAGGTTGAAAGATAGTTGAGGAAAAATGCCAAAGCTAACCATATATACTTTCTTCTTCTAAGACAATTATGTTCAAATATTATCGGACTGGTATCTCACAAATTTAAAATAGCCTTACTTTTTATTTTGGCATTCTAATTTTGTGACATTTTAATAACATGCCAATTCATAGTAATATTCTGAGTATGCAGTTAAACAATAAAATTGATTTAGAGGTAGGATGAGGAAACCAGTTGTAGGTTAACATAAATTCTGTTAATAGTAAACTTGCAGAAAATGTCTATTTCATTAAGTGAGTGATACCTGTAGTATTGCATGTTCAATCTTTTTTACTTCAATTAACCTCCTTAAGATAAAAAGCTATCTAACTTCCCAAGAAAAATGTATTAGGAACTATTTTAAAAAAACCTTAAATAAAACTAATTAAAACTAAAATAACTAAGATCCTAGATAGTCTTACTTTTCATTTATTTGTATAGTAATGCAAAGATCAGTATTATTATAAGAGTGGAAAGCCCAGTATTGACAGATGATAGACTGAAAAGCACATTAGACTTTTAAATATGTTATGCTAAAGCAAGAGGGCTAAACATTTTTCTCAAAGTTGTAGGAAAGTAAGATATAATTTCCAACTGAAATGTATATTTTAAAGGCTGTCACAAAATTTTTTTTGAGGCCAGGCTTATTATGGCCAAGCTGAAGGCTTTTATTACATGATGACTGAAAAGTACCCCATACATCTTTCTAGAATTATTTTTAAAGAGAGATCAGAAATTAATTTTTATAAAATACTCAAGGTACACACATACTCAGGAAATCAAAGTTCATTTCCCGCCTTCTATTCATTCCACAGCTGTTATTAAAACCCAGGGTGTGTTTCTTATACTAGAAGCTGCAAGAGAGGCTCAGTTCAGTACTCACGAGGTTTAAGTTAGTCCATATTTCTACAGGAAGTGACCTGCGGATGGGGAGCATGAGATGACACGATCTCACTCTTTTCTCGGGAGAAATGTACAGTAAATGCCTAAAATAGACACAGGCTTTTCTGTATCATAACAACAAGCAGTGACCTCATCAGACACATGTGTACAAACTGAATCCCACTGGAAGGATCTGAGAAATATTTACTGTGAGATCTAACTTTTTTGAAAATTTTAAGTTTGGAAAAAAAAAAAAAAGAAACAAAGAAAGAAAGAAAAAGGAAAATATCAGATTGGGCACAAATGTTTTAAAAAACTTCACCGAGTACTGAAAATTCTGCCATCTGCAGCAGTTTCAGAGTTCAGATACTTACCTAAAACAAGTCCACATTTGCTATAAGAAAAATGCTAACCTTGTCAAAAGGAAATTGGAGACAATTTCTGGCTTAGAGGAGATTTTGGTGCTCCAGTGTCCTACATTATTTACTATCATCCAAGAGCAGAAAATGTCATGGTCTAGTCCTTAGCCATTTACTTAGTAAATCTGTTTAAAAATCAAAACAATATTCAAGCAACTTAATTTTCTAACTATTCTTAATCAAAGTATGCTTCTACAAAAGTACCTGTCACCTTTTGCACTATGCCAGTAATAGTTCACATCCATACTTAGGGAAAATTTTGCATTATTTTTTATTTAATTTCTTGTGTTCTACAAAACAAAAAACAGGAAGAATGTTTACATATAAACACACAAAACATCTGTCCAACCATTCGTCTGGCTGAATGAACTGTCATGGACAAATATTGTTTAAAAATATTTATATGCAAAGAAAACTTTCTATTTTGAGTAAAGCTTAAGTCTTTGATCATAAACTTTGTCCTATACAAAATTCTATCTTGAAAAACAGTAGTGTATGTATAAGCAAAGAAATTTATTAAGTGTAAAAAAATGTTAGCAATTACATTGCAATTGGTATGTACCATGAGTCATTCTCACCATGAGAATCAACTTATAGCTGACCCTCTACTGGGTCTTCAAAGGCTGTAAATCACATGGGAGAAGACTGCCCATCTTTCTTTCACAGAGCAGCTAGTGGATTCAAACCACATGCCTTTGAGTTGGCAGCCCAGCAACTCCTTATCCACAAAACCACCCTACAATTAATTACTGTAACTTAAAAGACTGAGCAATTATTGAATATATAATCCAACAAAAATCAAAATGTCTTTAAATCTTTAATATATAGAAACAACACTGTACCTCAAACTCACTGCTGTCAAGTCAGAACTGACGTGTAGCTGACCCTTCACTAGGCTTCTGTAGGCTGTTCTGCATGGGAGGAGACTCCCATCTTCACCCACAGGTCCCTGGTGGATCTCAACTGCTAGGGAAGACACCCTCTTTCAGATAGAGCACAACATCCTATGGATTATGCCTTCAGAGCACAGTGTTACATCTAAAAACAGGCATGTGCCAGATAAAAATGGAAAATTTTAAAAAGAGAATACAGCAAATATTATTCTTTGTGTGTGTGTATATATATACACCTATCTATCTAGCTAGATGTGTAAGAATATCTTTTTTTTTTAAGAATATCTTTTAAAAGGCATAAAACAACCTTGTTTAATCTGATGAAGATTCTATGTGTAGTAGAAAAAAATTAGTCAATATTATTTTACTTAATAACCTTAACACTTAAAATATTTTTAAATGCATGAAAATTTGCAAGTCTACTTTAAAGACATATATTCTTGTAGTATTTTTAAATACTACAGTAAATCAAAATAAGGTCAACTTTTTTTTATTATTAAATTTTATTAGTATTAATGAACATTTACAGGGATTTTGGGTTTTCATTCCTTCATTGCTGCACCATTTTCTCTACCCTCCTCCCCAGTTTGTTCTTCTTCCCCCGCCATCCGAATGTCTGTTTTAATTGTCCAATTGCCACAGTGCTTGTCAAAGTCAGTTCTGATTAATCTCCTTTGTCAGTGTGTCCTTTGCCATTCCCTATCACTCCTCCCTGAGAGAGACTTCACCCTGATTCATAAGGAAAAGGGGATGGCGTATTCTCTTAGCTACTTCCTGCTGAAAAGGGACACTGTGGGTTTCAGGGTGAAGATAAAATAAGGTCAACTTTAAAGAAACTTTCAACTAACAATAAAAAAAAGTCTTGGAGCTCTAGTAGCCTGCTGGTGAGAAGCTGTGCTGCAATTCCAAAGGCATGTAGTTCAAATCTCTCAAGTGCTCTGAGGGAGAAGGATGGGCAACCTCCTTTTGTGTGATTTACTGCCTCTGAAAACCTGTTGGAAGGCAAGGTCAGCTATGGGTGAGTTCCAACTCAACAACACACAAGAAGTCGTCTCCTAAATGGAGAAATAAAAAAAACACACCAAAAAACAGCAAACAAAAAAAGCCTTAGTAACTAAATTAAATATCTGGATTCTTAGGATAGACAAAAAGGTAAAATTAAACTGACTTGAGAAGTTATTTAGTGCCTTAATGTGCATGCAATAATGTGGTATGTAATAGCTGTATAGGCATTTTTGTTAATAGTCAGAGTTTAGTGCATTAAAAAAAAAAATATACTAAAATGACAAGGTTAGCATTTTTGTAAAAAATAGCCAGCTAAAAAGCGGTTTTTTTACACTTGACTATCTCAAAGCACTTGGTACTCCTAAATCATCCATTATTAGAAGTCTACCGTAGACTACATTTAAGAATAAACAGGCCAGAAGGGTACCTTGGTGAGTTCTGCATGGGATCATTCAGTTTCAACCATGTAGTTACTATGTGTAATAACTACAAAGCTAAATGTTAATGCTCATGTAGTGCAAGGAAGCGCTCAGAAAAAATGCAACTGCAAATAAATGAATTCTTTTCAAACTGCATAATAAATGTACAGTGTAAAAATTTCTGAACACATATTAATTTAACAAAATTAAAGGAATTCAAGTTGGAAAATAGTATCAATGTACAGATTAAAAAAGAGAAACCACGACTTAGCATTTATACACATTTGAGAAAAAAAAACAAAGACAATTCTACTGACATTCTTGGCAACATGACACAAAAACTGTAGTCAATTCAGATGTGATATTCTAATAGAAAAAGATGTTCCTGTGGGAATTAAGACAATCTAAATCTCTTCATCTACAACTATCCTCAGCTTAAAAATTCTGTTCATCTACTGCCTTGATTTTAATTCTTTCAAAATAAACTGCAAGTATCAGCACTGGTAATTCAGAAAGAGCTTCTTAAACATCCTAAGACACTTGTCACATAGTTTTCAGTGGACACTAACTCTACTCCGAATACACTCAAATTTGTGAGGGAAAAATTAAACACTTAATCATGTTCAACATCAGTAAAAGTATGCTTAAAAGAAATTCTAGTTGTAAATAACCTCTATAATTAAAAACTAATGATCAAAATCCACACTTATTCATTTAATGGCTAAGTTAATCAAGATTTACATGGGTGATATATATAACTGGCCCAAGATCTTGTCATTGTTAAATTAGGAGTATTTCATTATTTTCATCTTTCAACTTGACCTCTTTGAGTTTTAAAACTTCAACAATTAAAATATAAAAAGCTCCGAAAACAATTACTAAGCTTTATGCTAGATTTGTTTTGTAAAAGCTAACAACCTTTCAGAAATCAGTATTTCAAACTTAGATTTAGTTCATTAAGTATGCAGTTAAAATTGATCCAATTCATATCTAAACAGAAAGATAGCTAACAGTTTAAGACGCTCATTAAACATAAAACTGAATCTCAATTTACTGATCAAAAAAGACACTTGATGCCAGTATTTGCTTAGTAAGTTACTGAATAATTAAGAGAATGAGAGTTACAGTTAAATACGCAAATCTCAGAAAACTGGAGAAAAATTTCTTTTGAGAACCAAAGTTCATGGTTTTATCTCACATGCATACCAGCAAATGATTCTAGAACCACATCTGTCAAGCCAATCTTTCATAGTTCATTTTTAAAGACGTGGAATCAGAGACTCCACCAGTTGATTTAATTTAAAGTTAGGTATACTCATTAATTATAGTAACAAAATAAGTATGGAAACATCCCTTAGCAAGCAAGTACTAGCTAATGAGATTTATGTGGGAAGTCACATAAATCTCATTAGCTAGGTGTCACAAACTATAAACTTAATTCTTTGATAATTTCTGAACTATGAGTAATAAACCACTCATGAAAATTTTAGCACTTGAGCACAGGCCAAAATGAATTCTTTAGCAAGAACTGTTGGCATATTTCAGACAGAAGTCAGAACATGCAGCAAAAAAAGGAAAAGGCATTAACAGAAACTGAGAAAAGTAAATTACAGCTCCATTAACTTACAGTTTAACTATATCTGGATATTTGTAATTGTTAACAGAACTCACTACATAATCAGTCAACTATACAAAGGCAAAATAAATACATTACTTTTATCCTGTCAAATAAGCTCTAATTTAAAAAAATGCCAATTAAGAACATTCATACACACTTGATCAAATACTTTTTCACACTAGTAAATGTAAATATAATTTTTACAGATTAACAATCTTAATTTTTTTCAATATAAATGTAAAGTATCTAATGTTTAAAGAAATTTTTCTTTTTAAAATCATACTTTCATACCTGCCATTGCAGCTGAAATCATATGTACCTGGGTAGAATCAGGATCAAATACACCATTCAACTTTTCTTTGCAGTTTGAATAAGCAGCAAAGTATATTGCTCTAAAATAAGAGGCCAAAATTTTATCAATAAAAATATTAACAAATACATAAACTAAGTTTTATAATTTCGGAATGAAGCAAAAATATGTTTTAAAAAAAAAAACAGTAAAAAAAAAAAGGAAAAAAGGGTACACACTAACACTAAGTTTTAAGGACAATTTCTCTACGAAGACCCTGGGGTACTTTTTGTACTGACTCATTAAAAAAGAAAATGCCAACGTTCCTAGCATCCTCAGACAGAGAATTGTTCCACAAAAATACAATGACAATTACTTAGCAAATGACTGGCAAAAAGAAAAAATATGAGCTTACTGTGTCACACTAAATGAAATACTCAGAAGTGAGTAAATGTGGAATGAGCACTCTGTGTGCATGCAAACACACACACATTTTGGGGAAGCGTTTAGGATAATGCTGATTTAACTGATCAAAGTGAAAATCATTACTGAGTAAGTAGGTATGGGAATATGGCTAACCTGTGAGGGGCTGTATTTAAAATGAAATGTCAAGTTTTACTGTATACATTTTTGTTTCTTGTTTGTACTATAAGGACATAGTTTGGAACAATTTGTTAAAAAGAGGAAAAAAGCCTATTTAAAAAAAAAAAACTCATAACTTGGATTATAATAAATAAGGAAGTACAGGATCCAAAGTCTGGACACAAAAAGCTAGGTATGAATTTTTACTTTAAGTGTGACAATTAGACCATGTTCTATTCTGGAAGAAACCTAGGATAAAATGACGTTAGGAAAAAAATGACCAAGACATGCATGAAAGTATTTCTGCCTTCTTTACAGTGGAATGGAACCATTCTGTGTGTCCATCCTCTTAAGTGTGCCCACACTCCATTCTCCTCTTCAAAAGGCTCAATCTCATAGATGCCAGGCTTCCCCCGTCTTACCGCTGGCTTAGTTAGATGTCTTTTAAGCTCTGTACCAAAAATGCTTGACAGGAGTTGAGAAGTTCTCTGCACTGTGTTTACAGTCTACCCACCAGATTCTTTCAGGACTTATGCCCTTTAGATTAAAATGCTTTCTCTTCAGCACAGTGACTTATTTTCTGTATCTTCCTTTAGGGCACTAGGTATCTGTGCACTTTTCCTTGCCCTTCACTGTCATATTTTCTGATACTTTCAGGCATCTTGTCCTTCTCCTCAAGACTGTTTTAAGCCCAGGTTCTTGATCTCACGTAAAAGAAAGTGTTCCTCCAACTTCTAGATCCAAAACCAAGCGTATAGCAAATGGCCTTCTATCTAATACATTGTCTCCATGAATGCAGGCTGAGGTCCTGAGCAAGGAGAAAGGCAGGATATTTATTCTTGTGCCCTTAGATTGCTGGGCCGGGGGAGATGCTGGGCATCTTGTATTGTGGGTCAGCAGTTTCATCCTGGAACCTTTCTGAGACGTTACACACTTCCCCGTGTCCTGCTAGCTTTGTTTCTGGGCTCCCTTCTATCACCGTCTGGTACGCCTGCTTGTCTCAGAGGGAGGGAGAGGAAGGTAAAAGTCCAGGAAAATGAAGTTTTCCTGTTTAGCCTAAAACTTCCTTCATTTTATTTTTTCACCTCATTCTTTTGATGTTTAACTGCTTGTGGGAGGTGGGGATGGAGAAATCACTAACTTCAGATGATACGGAGAACAAAATGACTATTAGAAACATTTAGAGAAGTCTCAACTCTTTTCTCTGGGATAAGAAGGTAAATTTATTTAAAAGGTGACTTTAGAAATGCAAGAGCAGGTTTAAACAAACTACCACACAGTTATAACAAAATAATAGAACAGTCATTCTACGGGCCTACATTTGCATAGACTTTCATTTTTTCCCCTCATTAAAATTTTGCCAATTTCTGCAATCAAAGGACAGTACAAAACAACACCTTTCCCCGACAGGCTGAGTACAGCCTCCAGCTTTAAGGGGATTTCTCTATTCCTGTGTATTAACACATACTTATTCTGTGTAATATAAAGATAAATGTTGTTTCACTATTTTCAACTTTGAATACACTGTGAAAAGATTAAAAACCCCCTCACCCCCACCCATGAAATTTCATATAAAATGACTGTTTATAATGCTCATCTAGAAAAGAAAACATTTCTTAAACCTTTTGGTATATAATTTGCTGTGTTTCTATTTTCTCCACAGTATAAAACAGCAATTTAAAATTTAATGATCATACCTCTTACTTATTGCTAATTTCTGAATAATTTTCCATCTTTAAATAGTGAGACTCATTTCATACTACCAAGTCTTGCTATATTATAGTTCTAAATTTGTTCTATTAAGAGTTGTTGTTATGTGTCAAAAGAAAAGAAACTACTGGAGGGTCGGTGAAGGAAAGAAGACCCTCAGCCAGGTGGACTGACACACTGGCTGCTGCAATGGGCTCTAGTGTGTCATGAGGTGTGAGGATGGCACAAGAAAGAACAGGGATCAGATCTTTTGTTCACAGGGTTGCTATGAATCGTACTCGACAGCCCCTAACAACAACAAAAAATGTTTACAGAACATTTACCTTCTTATCACTATGCCACCAGACCTCCCTAAATGTTCAGAGGAAGTGAAAAGAATTCATTTTCTTTTTGTGAAACTTAACTATTTTCACTTTATAAATGTTTACAGGAACATTTACCTTCTTACCATTAGGCCACCAGACCTCTAAATATTTACAGGAAGTGAAAATATTTTTATTTTCTTTTTAAGGATTTCTAGTGCTTAATAGAACAAATTAAAACTATAATAAAGACTTGGTGGGAGGAAATGAGTCTTGATATTTCAAAGACTACATTCCATAATTTAAAGGAGAGGTGTAATACTGCCATTAAATTTTAAATTACTGATTATTTTATATTGTGGGTAAAAAGGAACATAGCATTTTAGCTACTTGTAAACAATTAGGGAGCTCTGGTGACTTAGACAAAGAAGCTGCACTATAATCCGAAAGATAAGTGGTTCGATTCCATCAGGTGCTCTGTGACAGAAGGATAGGCAATCTCTTCCTGTGTGATTTTCTGCCACTGGAGGGTCAATGCCAACTCGACAGCACATAACAACAACTAAAGGTATCTATAAACGATAAACTTCATACATCATAAAACATGAAAAAACAGAAAACATTTTAAAAATGTTTTACCTGGAAGGAGCCACTCCCACTAAATTGGGGCCTAGTCCTCTGAACAAGGAACGAGCCCCTTCTTTTTCCAAGATCACTCTGAAAGAGAAAGAAATTGTCTAAGAAAAAATGGTATTCAAGGTACAGTATTTATTCTGTAGTCCAAATTCACTTAAAAATGAGTGGCATCCACTTCCTAAACAAGCTGCCTCTGGAAACTAACTTTGATGAATGTCGATAGTTAGAAAAGACTTCAGGGCCTTTTGTTCACTGGGTCACTGTGAGTCATGCTCGACTCCACGGCAATCATCATCATCATCAACAACAGGGTAACTACTAAAGAATGATGTAAGATTTACAATGTGTAATACATCACTCCATGGACTGAAACAGCGACTGCACCAATGGGCTCGATCATGGAGAAGACAATGATAAATGCACAGGGTAAGAGCAGGCTCCATCTGTGGTTAATGGGGTTGATTCAACAGATCTTCTCAACTTTAATCACCTCAATTTTACTATCTTCCAAGCAAAACTCAATTCCTTTTTTTTTTTCCCCTGGGAGCAGAGTGAGGGGATGGGCCAGTAGAGAAATACCATCTTTGGGTTAGCAGTAACCTCCCTACAGACTACACTACAACCTACTAAAATGCTTGAGCAATTATTATTTCTCCTTCCACCAAGTGAACATTAATTTTACTAAGTATTGACATTATCGTATAATGCTCTTTATGACCAAGTGAAAATACACGTAAAAAAAAGATATGGTCTCTACCACGGAGAAACCTGCTGTTCAGTTGTGGGAAAGAAAGATAATGAAACAGCAGATCATAGCGGACAAGTTAGTTATATGAGAAAAAGAACGTAAGTGCGTCTCAAGTCACAGGCAGCTTTCTGGAGCGCGTTAAGTCTTTTGAGACACACATTAACAGACTAAACTAGATGCTCTAAAACAAATGCTTTAGAATCTTTTAAGGGAGGTGACCACAAAAAGCCTGAGCCAGATTGCCTGGTATGAAAGCCCAATTCTATTTATTGACATCGTATGAAATCCTGGAGTCAGCTACTTGGTTTTTCTTTCATTGTTAGTTTGACCAATAGTGTGGGCTTTATTTTTCATTTCAATGAACCTCTACAGAGATTTTGGAGTTCCATTCATTCATTGTTGCACTTTTCTCCCAGCCCCCCCCTCCACCCCCCCAATATTTTTTTTAAAAAAAGGGAAAACCACTGTGCTCTCACAAAGTTATCAAGAAAATTAAACTAGATTATAATAAAGTTAAAAGATTAGGTACTTGATTTTAATGTTAAAATTAATAACTTAAATTAATACTTAAATCTAAGTATTACTGGATCATTTGTTTTAAATATGTACCTCCCTAGCTTACCCTCTAAATACTGTAAGATACAGCAGGACAGTTGCCAATAATTTGTCTTTTTTGAAAAGTGTGATCTTCGGCTTCCTTCTAGCTGACACATAAGTGATAGAAGATCACACTGACTCACCAGAAGCAGAATAACAAGTTGTAAAGTGCATTCTGAGGACTCTGTTTCATGGCCTTTTCCATGCTTTTCCCTTTGGTAAATGAAGGAAGGGAAAGTGTTCTTCTGGCAAAAGCAATCTTGTATGCAATTTCTTTCACAGATTTCTTGATGCTCATTCATGAAACAGTTCATGACCACTAGATGCTGCTGTTGTTAGGTGCCAGAGAGCTCTGGTGGTGCAGTGGGAGAAATTGTGCTGTTATCCCAAAGGCACAGAGTTCAAATCCATCAGCTGCTTCGGGGGGAGGAGAGGGGGACTGGGCCATCTCCTCTTGTGTGATTAGCTGGCTCTGAAAACTCGCTGGAGCGTCAGCTATAGATAAGGTTCTAACTCAATGGCACATAGCATAAATGAGTCAAACGCTATTCATAGTGACCCTATGAACCTTGCACTATCCTGTACCAGCCTCAAAATCTGATATATTCAAGCCCAATGTTACAGTCACTGTGTTAATCCATAAGAATAAAAGTTTTCTCTCTTTCTCTGACACTTGACCTTTCCCATCCATGTTTTTCTCCCAAGGACCGGCCTCTCTTGACAATATATCCAAAGCATGTGAGATGAAGTTTCACGCTCCTTGTCTTTAAGGAGTACTCTGTAATATCTCCAAGACAATCTTGTTCTTTTGGCAGTCCATGGAATACTCAGTATTCGTCTCCGACACTACAATGAAAGGCATTGATTCTTTTTCTGTCATCCTTATTCACTCTCCAACTTTCATGTGCATAGAAAGCAACTGAAAAGGCCATGGCTTGGTTCAGGTGCACCTTAGTCTTTAAAGGGAAATCCTTACTCTTTAGCACTTTGGAGAGGACTCTGACAGCAGGTTCTATCAAATGCAAAACAATGTCTTGACCTCTTGATTATCACCATGGGTGCTGATTATGTATCAAAGTAAAATGAAATCTTTGACAACTTCAATCTTTCCTCCATCAGGGCACGTGCAGTCAAATGGTTCAATTTTTAAGGATTTTTGTTCTCTCGATACTGGGATGTAAACTATCTTGAAGACTGGAGACTTTGATCTCCTGCAGAGTTTCAAGTCCTCTTCATTTTCAGCAAGCAAGTTTTTGTTATCTGCATAACTCAGGTTGTTGATGAGTCTTTCTCCAATTCTAAAGTCATATTCCTCTTCATTTAGTCCATCTTCCTGTATTACTGGCTCAGCAAACAGACTGTATTAAGTATGGAGACAAAGGACACAGCCCTTTCTTGATTTTATATTATGCAGTTTTCCCTTGCTCCATTTGGTCAACAGTTTCTTGGCCTACGTCTAGGTTTAATATGAACACAATTATTTCAGGGTTCCCTTTATCCTCAATGTTATCCATAATTTGTTACGATCAAAGGCCTTTGCATAGTCAATAAAACAGAGATAAGCACCTTTCTGGTATTCTCAGCTAGCCACAGTAAAAAAGACAGATACAATACCAAGCAATTGGGTATGTAAATAATGTGGGTATGTAAATAATGCTGCCACTTTTCAAAACTGACAATTTCTCAAAATGTTAACCATAAAATTACAATACCCTAGCAAGTTAGGTTACTATCTATCAACAAACTATCAAGATAGATTACAATAACCTATCAAGGAGTCAGAACTGGGTGATTGGTTCTTATGGCTCAGAAGGGGGAGGGGAGGAACAGAAGTGCCTGCTTCATGGATATGGGCTTCTTTTTGTGAATGTTCTAAACGTCGATATTGCGGTGGCTCAGACTTTGAATATACTAAAGATGACCAGACTGCATATTTTAAATGGATGAGGTATAGGGTATGTGAATTATATTTCAGTAAAAATGTTAAAGTAAATAAATAAATAAAAAGAAGGAGCAAGCTCCAAAAAGACACAGCGGTTTCGGGCAGAGCTCCTCAACAGAAAACAAGGGGAGTGAGGCTAGAGAGAAGCTAACACAGGAAAACAGAAAATTCCAAATCAAATGTGTACTGAAGACAGGTCAAACTGTGACAAATGGAGTAATTAATAACCAGAGGGACTTCTAAAGTTGCTGGGAGGAAAGGCAAAAAAAGACAAAACCATTATAAAGAGACTAAATACTACAGCGCATTACAGAAGTCAAAGAACTTTAAGAAGAGATAACTAAGGCTACTAAACATCAAAATCATGATTATGAAAACATTCTTTCTACTCTTCATTTCTACCATGCATTCGATTCTAAAATTGTTAATTTTATTCTACTTACTCATGTACTTATTTACTAAGTTTCAAAAAAGGAAAAAAAGTGATGAAATCTTTTGATAGTGAAGGTGAGCAAACACTTGAGTTTATTTTTCTACTCCAAAATAAACACCAATGAACTAAGTTCAAACAGATTAAGTACCAGGACCAAGTGAGCTGATAAGGAAACATGAGGCAGTTACATAATGAAGTATAAACACGGAGACTCTGGTTTCAAATCTTTAAAACTCAATTTGTAACATAATGAAATATTATAAATTTTTAAAATTTATCTTTCTTGAGCCATCAAGACAGAGCAAACCAACATGGAATAGTATTTTTAAATCAGAACTCAGCTTCAAAATCTCAGGCAGTTTTTAAGGTTAAGGTTATATAAAACCCTAAATGCTTTTTTATATATCCTAAAAAAAAAAAGACTGAGATTTTTTTTTTCTTTAATTTAGGTTGTTTATTTTTCATTTCCATGAACATCTACAGAGATTTTGGGATTCCATTCATTCATTGTTGCACCCTTCTCACCGCACAAACAACTCAGCCCTACCCCTCATTTGCTCCTCTCCTTGAAAAGCAAAAGAAAAACTCCCTCATTGATACACAATCCCCCAAGACTGAGATTTTAAAGCACTTTTTAATAAAACTTATAAAAAAAAAAGTCATTAAGCGCTTGTACTTACCTATACTTACTTTCAAAATTAATGACTCAAAAAGCACCACCCCAAAACTAAAAATTAATGAATTAGCAATTAAAAATGAAATGCTAGTAAGAAGTTCTTGGGGCGGGAGGTGTGGAGACACATAAAACACACACATAAATACCTAAGATCTGGGATTAATACTCTTAGTGTTCTTGTTCATTAGGGATTATCACGTCCAATGAACAGAATTCAGAGTAACTTTCTGTCACTGAGTTAGTTAAGGACCTTTCCAAAGAAGGCGCAACACAAACCAGTGTGTGGAGCTGGGCAAGGTAAAGGGAGTAAAGCACTGGCATGAACAGTGTATGGGGTTCTCACCTGAGGCAATGCAGAGGGCCAGGAGAGACCACTCGGTTGACGCTGGCTCCGGCCATGGTGTTGAGCTGAACTTCAGATATATAAAGAGTTACAGAAGATGACTGCAGCCGTGTTTTTACAACTTCCAGTGGACATGTCAGGATAGCTCCCACTGTACCACCACATCTGCAAAATAAGAGAGAAAAAAATAAACCAAACTTATTTATGCAATTCATGAGATCATCTACAAACCCTGAGGTTTGGGCAGGTTTGCCCTGAGAGTCGGCAGCCGGGGCTTCGCCAAGGTGCTAAATTTTACATTTTAAATTATTTTAGAAGATTTTAAGTAATACTATGTTTAATTCTTTTGACTAGGAAAAAAATATGTCATTAACTAAAAACATGATCTACCTACCAAGAATAATTAGCTGAAATAAGAAGCTTCCCAATAGCAGACATTGTTATTAAAATTTACTGGTTAAGCCACATCATGATTTTTCAATACTGATAGGGTCCCTATGGGTCATACTTGACTCAATAGCACCTAATGCCCACAGGATGATTTTCCAAACATGCCTGGGCACTGCAGCGCTGGAGCACCCCACGGACGGCCAAAAGAAGAAAACAGTCTTGGAAGAAGCACGTCCAGAGTCATCCTGAGAGGCACGAATGGAAAACTCGGTCTCACAGACTCTGGGCATGCTGTCAGGAGGGACCAGTCCTTGGACAAGGACATCAAGCTAAAAAAGGAAGAGGGTCAGCCAGAGAGAGGAAGACGGGATCAAGTAGACGGGATAACACAGCGACTGCAACAACGGGCTGAGCCTGCCGGGGAGCGAGAAGGCAGCAAAGGACAGGGCAAGGTTCAGATCTCTTCATTTGAGTGGCAGTGGGTCAATGGCACCTAACAACAAGCAGCCAGCATGCCTAGGGGACTGCTCATGGCTTTGCTGAGACCTACGCCATTATTTGAGGTATGTCTTCTAAACATCTTACCTTTTAAAACTGTAGAACTGGTTCTTTGGAGTGGATAAAAAAAAAGAGTCACTAGTTGATAACAATGCAGTTCTCCTATTTTAAATACATAAATATTCAAGTGTTTTACCTATAAAAATACATAGCACTTGCGTCTCATAATCAGTTATCTATTAAGTCCCAGAAAAATCCTATTTCAAACAAGGACTGATTTAAGTGCATTTAGAAATACCAAAACAGTAACAATAAAATATACCTTAAATTTATTAAAGGTTATATAAGAGATACTTAGACTAAGTCATTCTTCCATTCCCCAAGTTCACCCATCCCCTCGATTTAAAGAATAATGATGAAAATACTAGGAAGGAGTAGTTAATTCTTTTTCAATACGAGAAATTGTTTTCTTTTGAAGTATTAAAAACTCTCCAGTAAATCTCTGGAAATCACTTTCTAACCAAAGAGAAAAATTATCTCAGGAAACTGTCCTTAAAGAGGACAACAAAAACAACTGTAAGACAGCATCTCACCCCAGCAACAATAGCAAAGTTAGACAGGGCAGCAAACAACAAATGCTGGCGAAATTGGAACCCTTATTAACTGCTGATGGGTGTGTAAAATGGTGCAGCCACTATGGAAGGCGGTTTGACGCTTTCTCAAAACTTTGGAAGTAGAAATAGCATTTGACCCAGATTCCACTACTGGGAATATACCTAAAGAAACCAGAACTGCCACCAAAGCAGAGATATTTACACACACACACACACACACACACACACACACACACGTTTACTGCTTGCGTTATTCACAACAGCAAAGAGATGGAAGCAATCCAAGTGCCCATCAACAAATAAATGGACAGAAAAACTATGGTATATATTAAATGTAACACTATGCAGCACTGAAAAATAAGGAGCTTGTAAAACATTATATAACATGGTGACCCTGGTGGACATTATACTGAGTGAAATGTATTCGTTTTAGAAAGACAAATATTACATCACTGCCATGAAGCAGGACTGATACAGGGGCTGGGGAGAAAATGGAAAAATGGAGAGATAATGAACACTGTATTCGAACAGAGGAAGGAGAGAACCATTTAAAAAAAATGTATGATTAGGCATTGTATGTAAAACAGAGGTACTTTGCAAAGAGGAATAGGGAGAAGGGGAGAGGGTAGGGAAGGAAGAAAATTGTGCAATAATGAATGATTAAAAAAAGTGAACTGCGGAAAGGAGGAAAATGTGCAACAATGAATGAATAAAAATTCAACTTTTCTGTAAACTTTTGTTAAAATCACAATGAAGATTAAAAAGAACAAAAAAAAAAAGAAAAAGAAAAACAGATTGATTTATATAATCGAACTTCCAACAGTGGCAGTAGAGAAAAATAAATTTACTACAAGAAAAACTATACTAAAGAATTTCATCTCCACAACTGAAACAAAAACCGCTATGAAATCTTTAAAGACAATATATGAATAAAAATCTTTTTGTGATTTTGAGTTAAATATAACGTTCTTTTAACAACAACCAAAAAAAGTATGAAGCATAAAAGTAACTGATAAACTGGATTTCAAGGCTTAAACAAGCTGTAGAACTGCGTGGCACGTCTGAGTAACTTTCCAAGCCAATTACAAACTGCTTTCTAAACAGTGTGTCATTCTGCCTTTTCACCAGCGAAGAGAGCTGCTCACCATCCCTACAGGAGCTAGTTACCGTTAGTCTTCTCTTAAAAGAAAATGTTTTCATTTTCCTTTTCTTTTCTGTATGTGTGGACCGTCAAATCAGATCTGACTGGTACAGGAGATAGCCCCTCCTTGTCCAGTAGAGCAGCTGGTGGATTCAAACTGCGTACTTCTGGAATTGCAGTGCAGCTTCTTGCCACTAAGGCCACCAGAGATCCCTTACTGTTAGTCTTTTTACTTTTATCATTTGTAAAAGTGCTGTGGTTCTTCATGGGTCTTTTGTGTTTGAAAATGAAAAGACGAAGCACAAACAGGGAATATTTGCAAAACAATTACAGGGGAAAAAATCTCAATAAAGAGATTTGGATACTTCTTCAAAGTTTAAAAAATCTTTCTCACACTCACTGCAGGAGGATGGGTGATCTCCTCCCGTGCAATTAACTGCCTCTGAAAACGTGTGGCAGGGTCAGCGATGGGTTGGATCCCACTCAACGGTACCCAGTACCCACCGTACCCACCCCCACCCCCACCGCACTCATTGCTGAGTTGGAACCAGCCCCTAGCTGAGCCTCCACTGGCTTTGCAGTGGCTATAACTGCATGGAAGAAGGCTGCCCATCTTTCTCTCCCAGAGCAGCTGGTGGATTCAAACTGCCTACCTCTGGGCTGGCCCTGACAACTCCTCACCAGTAGGTCACCAGAGCTCTCCAAAGGCACAGAATGAAAACACACAGAGGAAGATCTCCAAAAACCACCTGTCATTGGGCAAACGCAAATCTAAGCATCACAAAGTAGTTTTACGAAAGATGAAAGACCAATATTAACATGTGCTGGTAAAGATAAAGCACAGCTGGAATCTCATTTATATTACAAGTGGAGAAGGAAAAATGAGCCATTTCAGAAGATAATGTGGCACTTTCTATATAATACCACAATTCTATTCCTATATGCTCAGGTGAAAGGCTTCTATGAGGCCAATGGTCTCTCTATTCACCTCTAACAATAGAAGAGTCAGGAATGGAAGGATATGGAATATATAGTTAACTGCCTGTATGAACAACTGTCTCCTGTGCCATAAAACTAGAAAAATAAAATGGTGTCTGGCTACCATTACTAAATATATTCCATAAAAGAATCTGAATCAAAAGGGAGAAAACCACAAAACAGAATTACATATGCCCACGGATTCCAGATTTTCTGAAGCCACTCATGGGTGAAAGAATCCTTGAAACCACTGTTTTGAGATAATCTCTAAACCAAAAAGGTCACCAGAAATCTTGAAAATAGTTGAACTAGTAAAAAAAAGAAAATGTCTGTCTTGAACACTATCTTTTAAACTGCTTATGTAGGGATCAAATTGACAAAAGCAACTCAAAAGATGAGTAGTAACTCTGTTAAAAATATATGCAGTTTGAATACACTAGCTGCTCCACAGAAGGAAGACGGGCAATCTCCTCCTGTCTAATTTACTGTCTCTGAAAACTCACCAGACGGTCAGCTATGAGTGGTTCTGATTCAAAGGTACGTAACAACAAGAAGCCTGTTAATAAGGGAAGGAGAATTCAGAAAAAGATGGTAAGAATGATGAAGAATGCACCTGATGTTACTAGATGGTTTTGTTACGGATAGTTACGTATTGTCCAGGTGGAACTGACTCATAGCCAACTTCCAAGTAGCCGTAGATCACAGGGAATTAACTGTCCGTCTTCCCCATGCAAAGCAGGTGGTGGATTTGAACTTTGTGCCTTTGGATTGGGAATAATAGTTCTGTATCTCTTTCTTTAAAAAGCTATACCTAGCTCATAGTAGGAATGTAGAAGATGTTAGCTGAATTTATCTCTTAAATGCTGACTTTAAGGAACTCTACTGGCACAGTCCCCAGGAAGTTGCACTGCAAGCTCAAAGTCGGCATCTCTCTGGTGCTGCAAATACACTCACCAGCAGCTTTGAGGGGTAAAAGATGGGCAGTCACCCCCTGTGAGATTCAGAGCCTCAGAAAATCTGAAGAAAAAAGGGAGAAGAAAATCTGCTGAAGGATCAGCTATTAGTTCTGACTTGACAATAATGTTTTAGATCTTGATTTTAGCATAAATTTCTTGTTAGTATTGCTTTTATATAAAAGACAAATTCACTTAAAAAAAAAAAACCCAAAAGTTCAAACTCACAGCTATCAAGTCAGTTCTGATAGAAAACAGACCTTGAAAGGCCTCCAAGACTGTCAGTCATTTAACAGAAGATTGCTCATCTTTCTCCCTTGGAGCGACTGGGGGATCCGAAGCACTGGAGTCAAGCAGCCTCTGGGTTAGGAGCATGGTAATAATTTGCTATGATTTATTTACCACCAGAGCTCTCGACATAAATGATTAGAAAAGATTCAATGTGCAAATTCTGATTCAAAGTATTTAGTTATAGCCTTTTAAATTGCTTGCATATATATTCTTTCATTTACAAACCAAAGAACTGCAATGGTACTTGTACTATTTGAGTAATAGCCCAAATTAAACCTTAAACTGTATTCATATACTAAT